AATAATGTTCTTTTTAGCAACGTCATATGACCCCTTTAATAAAGGGTTATCCAAGCATTAATGGCAAGGAAAAGCCCTTTATACTTGAGAGCGGCCACATATGAAGTGTTTCTTGGAGATTATAGTACATTAAAGAATGATCATGTGACTTTTACATACGCCAGGTGACCTGTAAATGACTTGTTTCCATTGCAGTTTTGAGATGTATTCCATTTTCGAGGTGCCTGAAAAACCACCTCTTGCGAGTGTAATTTTTTGTTTTGCGATATATGGGAGTTTTTTTTCAAAATTGATGTGTTTCCATAAAGCGTATTTTCAATTCACAATTTCAGTTTGCGCAATTTTAATTTTGGGCAGTGGAAACGTGGCTATTGCTTTTGTTTATAGACCCAAATTCCAAAATTTCAATAATTCTACAATTCATAAATTTTCATAAACCCACTTATAAAGTTAGTTAAGGTTTCCAAAAATAAGGTGTCCACCCTCTTTTGCACCAGATCTCTGACACTTATGCCCTGTTTTAACCTGGTATCAAGATGCATTTGGTCGATCGGATTTAGATCGAGGTAGACACCTTCCCATTCATACCTGGTGTTTTAATCTGTCCCTTCTGTCCACTTTTGACCACTTTCCTCATTTCTTTGAGGCAAGGGTGTATGGGTGGGTGTATGTATGGGCTACTTCTGCTCTTTCAATCTAATATTGTAAAATAAGTTCATGCAATTTACATTTGAACGCGAAAGGAGACAGCAGAAAACAATACAGAGAGCTGCAGCTTTTGGTTCTGCTCTGATAGCTACAAAACTATGCCGAATGCTGTAGGTTTGTGTAAGAATCAGGAATGGTAAGAGAACATTGTGCTTTTTACATTTTTTCGGTACATGCATTTGGTTGAATGTATGTCCACTTGTGATCTGATCAACAAAAACTATTGTGTGTAGCTGTTGTCTAATTCACTGATAGACCTTTTTCATTGTGTAGGCACCTTAACTTCCACTTTCACAACTTTAACTGCTCTTAGGTTATGTCAACATAGTACTTTATTCTGTTTTATTTGACAAGACCACAAATTTTTTTTAAATTAAATTGTGCTTTTATGTTACACATTAAAAAGCAAACCTTGGTCTCTTCTGGGCTTGCAATTTGTATAAAGGTTGATACTTTCTTTCCCTTTAATGAAGATAAAACCTCATTTACATGCAGCTCCCTGTGTTCTCGTTATTTCACAGCAGTCATGATTTGCTCTTTGAACTCATTTCATAGCTGCCGGATGTGAGCACTACATGATGGTTTTTCCTGTGCCATTTTCTTCCATTCGACAGAGATGATTGAACTAGATGGCGATGAGGTCAGGATATCATCCAGGGGTCGCTTCGCGGAGAGAGACATTGTGCAGGTGAGCTTTCTAACCCTGTATATCCGTGGACAGAAATAGTAAGGCGATATTCCAGGCGATTTTCTACAGCATCTTTAGCATTGATGATCACAGACAATATTTTTGACTCATCTCTCAGTGTGTGTGGTTATAGCAAATGGGAAATCTGTTTACAGTAAGAGCAGGCAAGTGTACAGAACTGAGAATAAATCTTTAACTTTGATCATCATATTTTTTAAGCTATAACCAAAATCTTTATAGGAATAGTTCACACAAAAATGAACATTTGCTGAAAACGTACTCACCCTCAGGCCATCCAAGATGTAGATGAGTTTGTTTCTTCATAGATTTGGATAAATGTGTCTTATACTAATTTTTACCATCTAAAAGACGAGTCAAATTTATTTTCTGCAGTTGTCAACAGCATATTCCTCCTAAATCTCTCTCCGATTCCTCTTCAGTTCGTTCCTTTCCGAGACTACATTGATCGCAGAGGGAATCACATCCTCAGCATGGCCCGTCTGGCCAAAGATGTTCTTGCAGAAATCCCGGATCAGTTCCTCCAGTACATGAGGAGCAGAGGTATCAAACCCCAGCACTCGTCCCACTCCAGCTCCTCCAAACCCCCGTCCACACTCGTCCAGCCACTGCAGACGCAGATCTGAGTCATCGCACAAACTGTACGTCCTCTCTTCGGTTCACTGTCACTCTCAGGATCACACACGGCCTGTCTGAGTGAAACGCTGCCCTTCTGCACGCTGTCTTTCAGTACGTAGGGTGACTTTAGGGAGCTTTACTCGTGGCGCTGTCCTTCCTCGGGCGCGCTGAGGTTTTAGGGGGTGTTTCAGACTGTTTTAAAGTATCGCGTGGCCTCTTCAGTCAAACATCAGATCTGACTTCACAGTCTCTGTCTCACATACTATCTCCTGTTCTCATGTCTGACGAACTACTGCAGACGTTTACAATTGTACCGTTTTTTACAAATGGATGTTTTTTTGTACCTCATGAAAACTCTGAGCTGCTTAACAATGAAATTTACTCATTTTATTACATGACGTTGTAAATAGAGCGAGTGTGATTTTAGAAAAAGCATGAATCCACTCTCAGTACAAACGTGAGAGAAACTTTCACGCAGATGTGCGAGGCCTTGGGTTTTCATTTTGTTGTACAGTGTTTGCTTTGAATTATTTTACTATATCAGTATTCCGTGTTCTTGGTCATTTGACTGTCTCAAACTGTAAAGAATTTGTGCTTAGCTTTCGCGGCGCTAGCACAGAACAGAAATTTAACAGGAAAAGCCTTACTCTCCGTTAAAGGAACAGTTCACCCAAAATGAAAAATGTTGCATTATTTGCTGAACCTCAAGAAATTCCAAACATGTATGATTCTGTCACACCCCTGGACTGTTTTTGATGTGTTTTCATCCCTCATGT